TAAGGGTTCTCTTCAGTATCATATTATGACAGATGGATATTGGGACAAATTCATGTCACAAAATGTTTAGATAAAAAGGACTTGCCCCTGCCACACCCCAAGCCATAATTCCCCCACATCAGGTAAGCACAGACAGAAGGACCTATGAAAGGAATTCTGGATTAAAGCAAATTGGTCAAAGACCTGGGCAATTCAAACAGAAAATGTAAGAAATATATATCTTTAAAGCTAGGAACAGAGGTATATGCGCAATTCTACGTTCAACAAGTTAAACTTAGTCCCACAACCAGTAAACTCCAAAGCTCATCTTTCATAGAGATTAATAAAAAAAATTCAAATTATGCAAAATAGCAGTTTAACATGTACGGCAGCATCACGCTGCTTTACAGTGACATGAAAGAAGTGTAGTTTTGTACACTTCAAATACAGTTAAGTGAGGGAAAAAAAGGAGCCATGTGTACTCTGAATCGCACACCACACTGCCCCTTATCACAATCAAAATGGACAGCTGCTGGAGAGGATACCGCTGTGGATTACCCCTCTGGTAGCTGTATGTTGTGTGTGTGTGAACTGATCCTTAATACTATCCAGGGCTGCCAACCTCCTAAAGCGGAATTTACGGACACAACACCAACAATTTTCTGACAGAACCAATTATTTATTGAAAGTTAAAAAAATTGCTAAAATTACAATTTTCAGTGCAAATATCAATATTTAAGCTACACACATGTAGCTATTGTGAGTAGCAATGTGCTTAGAGTATAACAAAAGGCAAAAAAAATATTTCTTCTTTTACATGAAGGTCATGTTAATATAATCCAGCACAGAGTTCCCCCTTACATCAGAGTCTGCCAGGGGGAACTCTGCAGACCCTGATGTGAAAGGGAACACTGTGAACTCTGATGTAAAGAGAGCTCTGAGGACTAGGATGTAAAGGGGAATGCTGAGGATTCTGGTGTAAATTGAAAAGCTGATGCAAGGGAGTATCTGGTCACCAGAGCCCCCCCCCCCACACACACACACACTTACACAAGGATCCAGTTCACAGAGGTCCCCTTTACATCACTGAGTTCCCCTTATATGAAACTCCACAGAGTTCCTCTCTACATCACAGCCCACACAGTTTTTCCTTGCACAAGTGTAAAGGGTGAACTCTGAAGATCCTGATATAAAGGGGAACACTGTGAAACCTGATGTAAAAGAGAACATTGCAGATCGTGATGTAAAGGGCAACTCTGAAGTAAGAGGGGCTCTGGCCACCAGAGCCACCCCACTTCCCCCTTACACAAGAATCCAAAGAGTTCCCCCTTATATCAGAGTCTGCAGGATTTCCCTTCACCTGTGCAAGGGGGAACTTTGTGGACCCTGATGTAGAGGGGAACTCTGATGTAAAGGGGAAAGCTGTGGACCATGATGTAAGGGGGAATGCTGCAGACTCTGGTTTAAAGGGATACTCTGATGTAAGGTGGTCTCTGGTCACCAGAGCCCCCCTCTTGCTTCAGAGTCCACAGAGTTCACTTTTTCAACAGAGTTCCCCATTACATCAGGGTCTGCAGTGTTCCCCTCTACATGAAGGTCTGCAGAGTTCCCCCTGGAATCCTGCAGATTCTGATGTAAAGGGGAACTCTTAGGACTCTGATTTAAGGGGAAATACCAGGAACTCTGTTTGGAGGGGGGGGGGTCTGGTGACCACAGACCACCTACTACAGTGTGAATACACTAACGAAAGGGGGGTTGGTGAGTCCTCCACTCCTGAGTCTCAGCTCCCCCTTCAGTCCTGGCTGCTGTTCATAAAAGACATCAAGCGATACTATAATGTCACCGGGTGGCAAAAACCCCCCTCCACCCAAGTCTGGCCTGCTACAGAACTGCACATACATAGTTCCAAAGTTGGCCAAAAGCCATCTTTCTTATGGGCAGCTGCCGTCCGTAATGGACATTTACAGAAAGCTTGTAAATCAGCTGATATTTACAAATTAATGGACAGTTGGCAACCCTGATGACTATAATTCTCATGACTATAATTCAATCAATACCATCTAGTGACTATAATTCAGTATTTTCCTGATTCACGAATTTGAAATGTAAAGAATATTGCCTAAGAACATTTGGTTTTGCCCAATCACACAAAACAGGTTTACATGCAGTTTTAATTGATGTACACTTTTTTAAATAAATGCATCTTTTAGTATATATGTAGTTAAAGCTTTTCTTTATTTTGGAAGGTGTGGTGAAGGGTTAAGAGCACTGGCAGTTTTTCTTTTACTGCTATAGTGACAGCATTTTTCTAGACAGGGTGACTTTCTAAAAGCAACACAGTCACATTTAAAAATGGTTTGCCATAGCAAAGAGGAATGCTTGAACCCCTGTCAGATTTTTATTTCTGGCTTTGTCCCTGCTGCAATTTTTTTTTTCCCACTTCCTGTCTGGTGAAACCATTGTCAGTAGGACAGAAAGTGATGGGGAAACGCTCAAATCCCTAGGTTCATACCTAAGCGTTTTCTGCAGCGTTTTGCAGAAACACAGTACAGTCCATTTAACATGATTTCCTATGGGACACGTTCACATCTCAGCGTTTTCACCCAGTGTGTTTTTCGGAAAGGGTTAGGGACTTCTTTCAATGCAAAAAGTTGCGTTTTTGGTTCTTTAAGCTGCAATGGAAACGCTAAAGAAAAGCATGTAGTGCGTTCTTGTTGTGTTTTTGAGGCAATTTTTTCAGGTAGACCTGATCGGAAGGTCATGCAGATCAATGGGCAGGGGGATGTAACTGAACTAGTGTCCATTTACATCCACCAGTCTTCAAGTCTGTCTTGGTCCAGTCCTAAATGCGATGGATCAGAAGTAGCCTGATTTATCCAGACACTTCTCACTGTCTATAGAGTCATCACAGGTCAACCACAGTCTGCTGTCAAAATGTGAACAAAAACTGAACAGGCACAGATGTCACAAAACTGATATCTGTTCCGCTCTGCTCCAGTTTGGCAGGGAACCTATTCACAGATCCCCTGCTGAATGGAGCAGAGCACATCTATGTGAAAAGACTCATAAACTGTCTGTCACTCCAGCCATCTGCAAGGCAGCCATTGCTTCAAGACACCACTATGCCATTAATACACATGTGAATATCCCTTCACCCCCCTTATTTTCTCAGCAGTCAGATTATTTGTGCTACATTGCTGATCAATGAATGGAGCTGTCATTCAGACCAGGATGTACAGATGTACCTCAGTTTACCAACGCCTCGGTAACGTAATTTTTGGTTTACGAATGAATATCCATTGAAATTAATGCCTCGGTTTATGATTTTTTTTTCGCAATACGGATTAATTGGTTTTCAATGCATTTACAATTTTTTTTTTTAATCATGTCCCTGTACAGTACTTTGCCTTTAAAGTGCACTTTATAAAGAGTTTTGAACAGATAAGACTTTTTTTTTTTTACTTTTTTCTGACCTCTGTAACGGATTATTTGGTTTTCAATGCATTCCTACGTTAAACCGCATTTCGGTTTACAAATTTTTTGCAACACGAAAAGTCCCGCAGAATGAATTGAATTCATAAACTAAGGTACGCCTGTACACGTTTTTTTTTTTTTAATAGGACATAAATACATCCCTTTGTGCATGTCCATTTCTGTGCTTACCTGTTCTATCCAGTTTTTACAAAAATAAATCAATTCGCCCGTGCATAATAGGCAAAATAATTTAGGAGCACGTTCATGCAGAAAATCAGTTTCACCAGTTCATACAAGGGTACAAAATCACAATTCAGCATTCTGGGTAAACCTGGCAAATTCCCTGTACTAGTGATTTTCCCCTGACTATAATTCTCATTTAATTAATGCAGCTGTGTACAGATAAAGCAATCACCTGGTTTCAATCTGCTGTTCTGGCTGGCATTTCCAGTTTCATTGCCAATTCTTGAGCTTTCAGACTGGTCTTTGGATTGTTGCAGGAAGCCCCTGGTGGAAAAACATATAAGGTTAGTGATTAGAACTCAGATATGTACAGTTTTGCTAATCAAAGCTGGCTTTATAATGAATCTGTTCCCAGATTTCCCCCAGAGGAATGTATGGTCAGTACAACAGGGCATAGCAGACAGGTCTTTCTACAGTTCATTGATGCATCCCAGCAGCACGGCCAGTGGGAATAGTATGTAAGAACTGGAGGAAAAATGTACTAGTGGTTCGAGACTAGACTTTTCTGTTCACTTTCCAGCCCACCAATAAAAAGCTGAGGGTTTGGAAGGGTGGTGGGAGTTATTTGTCATGTTACTTGTATGTATGTAACTTGTAATGATTTCAGGCATTGCATTGTGGGAATACTATGCAATAATGGAAAAAGTTTTATTAAGAAAATCTGGTATTTGCTTCTGTGGTTAGAGCTGTTTGGAGAGTGTTTGTTTGTAACATTGTTTGACATAATTAAGTGGAACTAAAAGGCAAAATCATTTTTTGGCATTTTATATAGCGTAAGGTCCTATTTACACTGACTTTCGCTAAACTGTATGGAAAACAGTGACATTTGTTGCATTCAAGCGCAGGTTATAGCGTACTGCATTTTCAGAGGATATCCTGTGCACTGCGTTGGCATTTGCTGTGTTGTGCTAAAATTCATACATGTTGCATTTTATGGTGTGACTAGGACACATTGGAAATTGTTTTTCAGATGTCTTTCTGTTGATCTGCGCTAAAATGCAGATCAACACACTGGTGTCAATTAGCCCTTACCCTAGGTTCACACCTAAGGGGTTTCCGCAGCATTTTGCGTTTTGCAAAAATGCAGTACAGTCCATGTAACATGATTTTCTGTGGGACACGTGCACATCTCTGCATCGGTGCATTTTTGGAAAGGGTCGGGGACTTTTATTTAACGCAAAAAGTTGCATTTTTGGTTCTAAACACTTAAATGGAAATGCTGCAGAAAAGCATGTAGTGCATTTTAAATTTGCCTGGCAACAAAAAACCCCTCAAAAACGCAACACAAAATGCAATGTAGAAACGGGTCAAACCAGGGGCGGACTGACAACTCATGTGGCCCCTGGGCAATAGGGGATCATGGGGCCCCTGTGTCTTTGCCCACACTCAAAGCACACCCAAAAAAGCCTATAAAAAGGTACCAGGGGCATTTCATGGGGCCCCCTACTGACCTCGGGCAGTGCCCGAGTGTTCGAATAGTCAGTCCGCCCCTGGGTCAAACACAAACTGCATAGGTGTAAACCTAGTCTAAGGGAAGGTTATAAACCCTGTCGGTCTTTGCCATATGTGACCCCATTGGGAAGATTTCCCTTCACTTCCTGTCCCATAGATGAAACAGAAACTGAGAGAAAATCCCTTCAAAGTGAGAAAACCTTGGTCATCACCAAGCATTTCAGAAGGAGAGGAGAGAGAGGTGGCATTTCACATCCCCAGACCTGTGAAGATGCTTTCTCTCTTCTCCTTGCAGGGATGACAGTACAGGCTAGACAGCTGATTGGTCAGCACCATGACAGTGCTGACCAATCAAGCGCCATCTAGCCCATACTGTCATCCTTGCATGGAGAAGAGAGAAAGCATCTTCACAGGTCTGGGGATGTGAAATGCCACCTCTCTCTCCTCTCCTTCTGAAATGCTTGGTGATGACCAAGGTTTTCTCACTTTGAAGGGATTTTCTCTCAGTTTCTGTTTCATCTATGGGACAGGAAGTGAAGGGAAATCTTCCCAATGGGGAAAGCTGTGGGGATTTCAAATCCCCAGATCTGTGAAGCGGGTTTTCCTTCTGTGACAGCATGGGACTGGTGCAGTGAGGTTTCCTGCACCACTCCTGTGTAAACTCAAGCAATGACAAGCTTGTGGTTCACACAAAAGCAGCGGGAAACCGTATGCGATTCGGACAGGAATCGCACCGCATTCCTGTTGAAAGCACATGCTATTCTTTGCGGTATGGTTTGGGTCCATTTTGTATGGATGCAAATTGAACTGCAAAGTATAGGTACTCTTTGGGAAGTACTTCTCTGAAAGTATCACCGATCAAAAAAAGGGTATCGGTGAATCCCTAATCTAAGCCATTCTTTTCCTTTTTTAAAAAAATGTACATTTTTATTTAAAGTTTTTGCAAGGAATTGGTAAGGTTTAGAGCCTCTGAGATTCAGAGTACTGTTGAGATTCACATTCTATCTGTAATAGTGAGCACTATTTATTGAGAATAAAAGTGAAGGAAAATCCACATTTGTTTGAGTTGTCACCAGGACAGGAATAGAAGGAAATTCTTTCAATGTGGACACTCGTTCCCATGACAGCTATCCAGTAGGGGACTTCCTCTCACTACTTAATATCTACAGAAAATAAATTTGCATGGGCCAGAGGGGGCAAAAAAATCATTTCCTTCTCTGTTAAAACTAGGGGAAAAGGTTTTGGATTTTGAAGGAAGCCAGTCGTAGGAGAAATACAAAGGGTGCCACTGCTAAACTCTCCTGATAATGCTAGTTGTGTAGTTTACTTTAAAACTTTGAGAAACTGGCCTCAAACAAGTACACAGATAAGGACCTTTTGACCTGCAGGATTTATACAGTATACTGTGGGTCAAGGATTTAAAACACTAAAGCCAGCATGTCACCATAACAGCCAGTAAGCTAGCATTTTCAGAATTTCAGCAATGGCAGCCCTCATATTTTATTTGGTAGTTTTACTTTACTTTGGTTGTCTGAAGGGCTTTCCATTGAGACTGTGAACCGTAAAATAACAATTTGCATTTTTTTTTTTTAGTGAGAATTAAAAGGATAGAATATAGATACATAGCCTTGCGTTTATATAATTGTTCAGTCAGTTTTGGAAAAAGTCTTGCGGATAAACTTGCTCTTCTCTTACCTAGTTTGTGTTTTTGCATACAAGTTAGAAACATAAAAATAAGAGGTGCATAAAAAACTAATATATTGTGACAGTGCAAGGCTGTCACTGTGGAAATGGGTTTAAAATGGACACTGGACTCTCAAAAGTCGGTTTGAGAAGTACCAGCAGAAGTGGGAGTGGGAAACCTTGTGTTGGAAGGACTTCCATCTCCTATATAAAAAAAAAAAAAATATATATATATATATATATATATATATATATATATATTATATATATATATATATATATATACACACACACACTAATATGATACACTTAACCTCCCTAGCGGTATGATTCTTTCCGATTTTTTTGTGCTGAAAGCGGTACCATTTTTTCGCATGGAAATAGTTTTTTATTGTAGGCTGTAATTTTTAGGAAAATTTCCCCACAAATCATCACTCAATTCTGCAAGTGGTTCTGATTTACTATCGCTGTTCTCTAGCCGGTCTAAAACCGCTTTTGACGTAATGGGACGCTTTTTGGACGCCATGGACGTTTCTCAGTTTCCAGGCAGAAAGAACAGACAAAATGCAGGCAGGGCACAGGACAAAGCACTAGGGACAATATGTATGTGAGATGGGAATTTTTTAAATTTCCCGCCGCCGCCGGAGCCCGTACGTCCCGACGTCACGGGGACCGGAACATAGAAGCCGGATGCCGGCATCGGCCGGAGGAGATGGCCGGGGACGCTGCAGGGGACACATCACGGGAACGAAGGACAAGGTAAGTGCTACAGGGACTCCCTATGCAGCGCCGCATGGTAAGCCCGAGTGTAGCTCGGGGTTACTGCTTTTGGTATAGAAATTTTACCCCAAGCTACACTCGGGAATACCGCTAGGGAGGTTAAAATATATTGATTTTTGATGGGTGACCAGAGTGAAGAGTAGTATATATGGCATTCGTTCTGTATCTCAAAACTAGACCTAGTAGGGGAAAATTGGTACCATTTTTTAAATCAATCCAATAAATATACCCTGAAGCAAGTCTATTGCAGGCCATAGACGGGTTGTTTATCAGCCGAATTTTTGTACAAATGAAAAATCGGACGATATTCACACCATTAGTGGGGCAATGCCGTCGGCCATTTTTCTTCTTCTCATTTCTTTTATCGGTCATGCTGGAAAATCCACAAAAAACGGCCGTTTTTCGTAAGCATTGGTGGCAGCATCCATGGCAGCAATGACCGATTTTTCATTTGTCGGCCAACAATTCAGCCGATAAACGGCCCGTCTATGGCCAGCCTAACATTCGAGATGCCAAAGTGTGTGTAGGCCGGTGTAATCAAAGGCTGCTTTCTCACCAGCCTGAAGTGGATGCATAACCAAAGCTTCTATTTTTGAGCAGAATAGGGAAGGATCACAATAGAAAGGTGTCCCCGTTGAAAGATTTCCTTACATTTGTTTTAGGGGCAGTTTTAAAATTTTGGATTTCCCTTCCCCTTTCTGTCTCAGCCCTGGTTCACACATATGCGTGCTGGACCCTCTCCCCACACTATTGGGGAAAATTTTTTTTTTGCCTAGAAATACACTTTAATATTTTGCCATAATTTCTTTAGAAATATTAATTTATTTCAATATTGCTACATAATATCCTTGTATGAATCTGAGCTTTTGGATCCTAGAGGATATTTACAGTATAGTGTATACGTGGGGTTCTAATGCCTGCAGAATTCTTTTTTTTGTATTGTGAGAACCCTTTCAAACATTTCCTATTATATAGCTTAATTATAATTTGTATTTCTTAGAATACAATAAAATGAAATGCAAAATTCTTTTTTTATCTTAAGAACCCTTTCAAACAATCCAATTATATAGCTTAGCAAGCTATATAAGCTGAAGCTAGCAATTATGTTTCCAGAATTGTCTCTCTGGTGACATTTGTGATCCAACTCGGAAGTGTAATTGTCATCTGGTACTGTCATTTACCCAGATGGGCTTCTTTGGTGGCCTCGAGAGTCCATGTAAAGCTTGGAAGTGGTTCTCTCAGGAACCTGAAATAGAAAGACATTGTCAGTCATCATAGATTAACCAAAATGACTATGTTATGTTTTTAAATGGTCAGCTCAACTACAAGTGAGTGGAAAAAGGACACTAAAAGCTTTTTTTTTTTTTTTTTTTTTTTTTTTTTCAATCTTTCAAGAAATCTAGATAGGTGCAAGTTTAAGCAGGCCTTTTTATGTCGCTCACTTTGAATCCCTCCCACTAGCAGAAGAGACTGAGAATGGTTACGTAGCATGACGAGTGCCAGTTTAAAAATGCAACATAATGTAGAAATCAAAGCATATTTATTTATTTATTTAAAACAGTTTGCTTTCTCCTCTTGTCACCATGCTTCTTGTCAGCACATGAACTGATTGGCTCTTTGTCCTGCTTCAACTCACACTTTAATCCTGCTGTACAAAGATTGGAAGCAGCTGATACCGAGTCAAATTTAGGTACTTACACTGCTTGCATTAACCTCTACACACCCGCCACTGTATATAAACGACCAGGTGGGACAAGCGCCACTCTGATCAGACGTACCCATATTCCCTTCCACTTGACATGCTGCCGTGCAGCCTGATAGCTGCTCAGCAGTGCAATTCTGTTATGGCTGTGCCCCTTGGACACAGCACATCACGGATCAGCATATGGACTCTCTGATTGGCCCTCACGATCCTGTGATGGCTGTGGCCAATCACAGCCATCACACAATGTAAACAGAGGCACCTGCCTCTGTGTCGGTGGAGGAGAGGGGGATCGCTGCAGCCAGTCAGCGATCTATGTGTAGCTGCTGATTTTACTGTGCAGTAACAGATCACACAGTGCAACCATCTGTCAAAAGTGTACCAAGCACCATCCGTCAAAGTCCGAGTGCACATCAACATCTGTACCAGTGTCCCATCAACATCTGTCACAGTGTACCAGTGTCCCATTCAATAATGTAGTTTGGCGCCATTCCACGAGCATGCACAATTTTAAAAGCGTGCCCTGTTTGGTATATATTTACTTAGTGCAACACCGTATTTTATATTTTTTACTGAAAAAATGGTTATTCTATTGTTTTTGTGTGCATTAAAATTCATTAAAATTTATTTTTTCTCAAAATGTGTTTTGAAAAGCACTGCACAAATACTGTGTGGGATAAAAAATTGCAAAACCCACGATTTTATTTAAAAGTGTCATTAGAAGGCCTGGTTCTAAAGTGGCTAATACCTGAAGGTGCACCTTGGATGTTAGGCCTCTCTATGTGGCTAGGCTGTGAAGGTCTCACACATGGTATTACCATACTCGGGAGAAGTAGCAGAATTTGTTGGGGTGTAGTTGCAAGTATGCCTATGCCTTGTGTGAGAAATAACTTTTATTAAGACAGTTTT